TGCAGGTATTCAACGATCACGTCTAAACAAGGCAACATGAAGAAAAGAAGCAATCTCAGATGAATTATGGACGAAAAAGGAGTGAAAACATCATGAAAAGCGCAGAAGCTATTTTTGCTGATGTGACGACCGTCACAGCTTCATGACGACCGTCACACGGGTGACGACCGTCATGCAGGCAAAAACGCCCCACTTCAATTACACGTTAAAGAAGCAGTTCCAATTCCCACAGAGTGGACCACTACTCCCTAAATTATCTGCCTTAAAGTCCATCATCTTCAGTGATAACCGTTGGAATTCCACTTCTATAAAAGGGGAAGCAGGGGACTTCAGAAAGGAGCTGCATTCATACAACGAAGTGCTGCCAAATTTATTTCCAGAGCATATTTTCCAGTTTTATATTCTTATTCGTTTCTCTTTATTTCTTCTGTATTCCCATTTTCATTCTTCTGTAATTTCTACTTTATTGTACGATCAATTTGGCATAAAGACCAGAATCCTGCCAACATCTGTGGAGGATCTGCCCAAAGGCCAATTGGAATATTTACAGGTTTCTCATTTCAATCGATTCCAGTTTTATTATAATGCAAATCATTATTTATTATTTTTATTTATGTTTTATCTTTCCCAAATCCATGTCTAGCTAAACTTAGGTAATCGATATGTAGTAATAATTCGAATGGGATTTGATAACAACTGGTTGAAAAACTTTCTTTTCAAAAAAGTAATTTATGGTCTGAGTGTTTAAAATGGATTTACTGAATAAACTTCGTCGCGAAAGCGAGAACTTATTTAAAAGTAGTTTTGCCACGAAAGTGGGAAATTAATTAAGATACGAACCAACAAGCGAAAGCTGTGGTAAGGTCAGATAGTAAACACTAGGCATTTGTTTTAATAACAGTGAAAGCACTTTAAAATGAATTAAAAATTAGAGATTTCCAAAAAATGATTTTAACCCCGAACGGGATACGAAAGTGTACGTTTGGCCCTTAGGATTATGATTAGCGTCAATAACCATCGTGAGGCGAGAGTCTTCAAATCTCCATTTTCTGCTTAAATAAACTTTGAAAATTATTTCATACACCAGTAACTTATCAAATCCCTGAAGAACACAATTACTGCATATCGATTCAATCATTTATAATCTAAGTAGCATTCTTAGTTCCCTTTTAGTGACAATCTTATTCCCTTAAACATATTCTACCTAGCTAAACATAGTAACTCCCGAGAACACTAGTTTGATTACGAGTCCCTGTGGGATCGATATCTATTATTACTACGCGATAGACTGTGCACTTGCAGTTAGGTTGTATTAGACATAGAAAGTCGCGATCAGTTGTATGAAGTTGAGTTTATTATATGCTATGTAGATTGTTTGTTTCACTAACTCTTCACTGAAAATACATTTCATTTAAATTAAAATAGAAACTTATAATTTAAAAATTAATTTGTATTTGAAAACTAACTTATATCAATCAATGTTTTATGAATTGCATTCGTCTCATCATTCATCTCACTCTATTTAACGTATAGAATGTGGGTCAATGATCTGTTAATTTGAATAACAACAACTTATTGATATTTTTTAAATTAAACTAGAATATAAATAATTGATGTGATGAAAGACTTAAACCATTGAACCATATTCTATATGTTAAACAACATGAGATGAATGATGAGATTGATGCATTCGGAAAATAGTGGATTGTTTAAGTTGGCTTTCAAGAATAGTTTAATTTTCAGATTATATATTTCTTCATCAATTTGAATGGTCGTATGTTTTTGTGAGGTTTATTGAAAAATAAGCAATCTATATATTATATAATAAACTTTGGGTACATTCAACAACGATTATTTATAATAATCGTTATAAAATTGTATTTGTCTAAATGTATATACCACCATGGTTAGTAATAGAAACTGTGATCATATATAGTGCGCTTTCAGGTTTTCTATAACGGTCATAAGTCTGTGATTGTAAGTTGAGCATATACGACCACATCCTACGTAACAACGACATGTCACACATGATGTTATCCATTTCGAACCATTGTTGTATATGTTTTTCATAGTAGTAGAGTGTGCTACTAGGGATAGGTACTAAAGTCGCTAATTTAGCCTATAAGTGCAAAGCATGAGCAATGAAGGTAATAAATCCTCCAATGACGATAACTCCCCTCTTAGCTTTCGAGACAAAATGCATATGGGCCAGCATAAAAGTAGTAGAGAGAATCGGTGTGTTTTGAAGCACACAGTGAATGAAAAACAACTCCTTTTAGTTGACATTACCGTTGTCTCTTCTAAAAATAGTGTGTGCAAGAATTTGTATAAAATAACGGATGGTCGGATTATGGATATGGGAAGATTTCTTCCCTTCCATATTAGCGGTGTAATCTCATGTTAGTTGCTTCCAAAGAGGGCCTAACTCAGCAAACCAATATCCCGTTTGGGAGACGTTACAAAGGATATCGACAACATGTGGTAAATGCAACAAATTAGCAATTTGATTCTGATCAAACGAATAATCCCTGCTAAACATGTGAAACTGCACAGTCCCGCTCAAGTCTTGGCTCGCAGGATGGGTGATATATGAATATGAACTTAAGGACTCTAATATCAATATCTCATAAGTGGGATGTCTTAGAGCAACAAAATGATCCTAGCCTAACCTAGTAAGCATCCAATGCACATTATCATATAAACCTAAAGAGTGTAAGCAAGTGTCATTGACATACCTTATATGTGTGATCAGACGTTGGTACATGTATGTCTATCGCTCTCTTTGGTATGTTTCTTAATTGAAAATGATGTCCATGTAATTCATTTGTCTCTGTGGAGGCATTTTGAAGTAGAAAATAAAGTGAAAATGAGGGTGGTTCAGATTTTGGAAATTTTTGGAAGTGTGGAAGACTGAGTTTTAAAGGCTAAATGTGAAAGTGAGTGGAATGGGGATGACATAAGTGGTTTAAGTTTTTGATTTGGTGGAGAAATGAGAGAGATGTAGTAGATGAAAGTTTGGCTTTAATGGATTTTTATGTGTTTGTGAGGAAAAAAATGGAGAGTGAGGAAAAAGAAGTAAGCGTGGGAAGGAGAATGACAGTAAATATATTTAAGATGGTGTGCGAGAATATTGATGGAAGTTTGGAGGGAGAAGAAACAAAAGGAAGAATTGTTTGTTTTTAGTGGACTACCACCGATCTCCATCATGTTTTCTCCTCCTCCACCAACAACCATCAACCGAGCTTTATTTGCTTGAATAAACTATCTTGCCATTACCAAAGGTTTACTAATCAATTATTCATACTTAATCAATTGTGAGAAAAAAAATCTTCACCAAAGTCATCACCACCTATAATTTTATGTTTGTTCTTATCCGACTTCCACTAAAAATATAAGATGTATGCCCTTTATTATTTTTTATAGGTAAATTTTAACTTTTAAATTCACTTAATAAATAATGTATTTAGACTATATATAAATCAGATACATCGATTATTCAATTGACTTAACAATCAAAATTTATTTATAAAAAAGAATAAAGGGAGTACATAATAATTTTATTTTAGTGGAGTTATTGTTAATATTTTTTAGAGTTCTCTTTAATACATAGTGTGTATATTCGAACATGACTATTGACAACCCCAACATTTTGTTAAGCTAATTTGGGTATATGTGTTTTATTTCAACCGCCTCAAGACCAACTATAATTGAAATGAGATGAAGTCAAAAGAATAATATGTAATCAGATATAAATAATTAAATAAAGATTTAACTTCTCATTATCCTTAAATTTTTAGTTTAGTCGAAATATCTATTTTTAGTGTTAATTGAGATGGTCGTGCAGGAGCTTGGGTGGAACACATAGGTCGACCCCTGATAGATGTCAGATGATCGGGTTAGTAGCACACCTTAACGGTTAAGAGGTAGACTAAAGGTCGCATGGAAATTACGAAATTGATGTTTGAACTGTTATAACTCATAATTAGTAGTCATTAGTGAGACGTCGGACGTTATCTTGAACATTTAAGCATGAAAAACATAGGGGACAACTCATTATAGTCTATTGTGGAAGGAGTCAGAGAGTTGAAAGAAAGATTATATAAGAGACACCAAAGAAAATATAGAGGGGAAAAACACTCATAAAGAAAAAAACCTAGAAAACCACAAAAATGGTGGTCATTCCTCTCTTCTAAACAAATCTCTCAAACATCTAATTCTCATTACATTTGTGGTCTCACCTAACTTGTTTTAGGGAGATTATCTAAAAATATTTATCATGAATATATATATATATATATATATATAAAACAAACTGTGATATTTTTTTAAAAACTATATTTATTATCTTATAATTACCTGATATTAAAAAAACTAAAATGTCAAAGATATATAGATTGTTAGAATAAATTGTTTTTTTTTTCATATTTGACCATGATTTTGAGAATTATATATGACAATGTAAAACTTTAGGTCCTCAATCTCATCACTAAAAAAATTCAATCAAATCAGATTTACACATGAATATTTTTCTCCCATTCATCTACCCATCCTCTTGGAGTTTAGTGAAGACTTCGTATATAACATAATTTATGTTTATCAAAAGAAAAAGAAAGCAGCCTTCCTTTAAAATATTCAAAAATAATATTCGGTTCCTTCTTATTTGGGTATGTTGCATCACGCTAAAGAAAGTAATAATAGTAATAATCCAATCAAAAAGAAAAGAGTAATAATCAAGAGAAGAGAATAGTCTAAAAAGTTTCAGTGGCTGCCACAAGAGACCGAAAGCTGACTGAAACATTTTCAATTCCATCTTTGTGGCAACTAATCAATCACTCGCTTATTCAAACTCATTAATTTAACAACATAATTAAGCAACAAAGGTAACCTTCTTCTTTGCTTCACCTTGTAGCAAATACAAAATCAAATACGAAAACTATATAACTATAAATTGATCTCCAATACTAATCGAAGCTATTATTTTCATCCAAAAAAAATACATCATGAAACACTTTTTAGTAAGATCAACAGCACAAGCTCTCTTCCGCAGAAGCCGGAACTTCTCAACCGCAGCGATCGCTCAGCCGAGACACCACCACGGCAGCGGCGCGCATGGAAGCTTCTACTTGCAGAGGATGTCTACTCTGCCAGAGAAACAGGATCAGCAGCCAGAGGAGAACAAGAATGAGACCAACAGTAAGAACAGCAAAGCTGTAGTTTCGAGTTACTGGGGGATCGCTAGGCCTAAGCTTCTCAAGGAAGATGGAACTGAGTGGCCATGGAATTGTTTCATGGTAAGTGTTGTTCTTGGAGTAACTTGATATATCATGGTGATGTATATGGATGATGTTTTACATGACATGTTTTGTTTTTCTATCTATGATGTTTGTCACAGCCATGGGAAAGTTACAGCTCAGATGTATCAATAGATGTCACCAAGCATCATGTCCCGAAAACATTTACCGACAAGTTTGCTTTCAGATCTGTCAAGTTTCTCAGGGTTCTCTCTGATATGTATTTCAAGGTATAACTTTAAAGTGTAAAACTTGTCATCAGTGTTACAGACTAGTAGTTTAACTGCGAGGACAACTTATGTGGTCTCCTCTCAGTAACTATAATTACTTAGTAGTGTTGGTTATGTGTTTGAATCATTTGAGCTATAATTGCTGCAGGAACGGTATGGATGCCATGCAATGATGCTGGAAACAATTGCTGGTGTCCCTGGAATGGTAGCAGGGATGCTATTACACTTGAAGTCTCTGAGAAAATTTCAGCACACTGGTGGTTGGATCAAAGCATTACTTGAAGAAGCGGAGAACGAGAGGATGCATTTGATGACAATGGTTGAGCTTGTGAAACCAAGTTGGCATGAGAGGCTTTTGGTTATTACAGCACAAGGTGTTTTCTTCAATGCATTCTTTGTGTTTTACATTCTCTCGCCAAAAACAGCGCATAGGTTTGTTGGTTATTTGGAGGAAGAAGCTGTGATTTCATATACACAACATTTAAATGCAATTGAAAGTGGTAAAGTTGAAAATGTACCTGCTCCTGCTATTGCAATTGATTATTGGAGACTTCCTAAGGACGCAACTCTTAAGGATGTTATTACTGTTATTCGTGCTGATGAGGCTCATCATAGGGATGTCAATCACTTTGCTTCTGTGAGTATCAATTTATCATTTATAACTATTTCCTTCCTATATATATATATATATATATAGATATATATATCAACTTTTGTTTTTGTTTCTACCGAAGTTTAGTCTCAAAAATATATAGAAAAAAACTTCGGAAATATCTGACATGTTGAGACTAAAATCGGTCAAAATAAATGTGGAGAGTAAATTTAAAGAAAATTTTTGTAGAAACTAAAACGGAAAGTTGATATGTTTATCCCATTTTGTTTCATGTGTTCTAAATGTTGTATTCTTTCTTTTTTGTAGGATATTCATCATCAAGGAAAGGAATTGAAGGAGGCTCCAGCTCCTATTGGCTATCATTGAGTCATTGTTTGTCTATTTTTTAATATAAAATTAGTAGTAATTTCTATGCTCTAGTCTTTGTTGAATAAATTTTCAATTTGTGCCTGAATTGTTAAATAAATAAAATGTATTTTTAGTGTGCATTTTGTAAACTGAAAGTTTATCAATATATAATATATCACCTAACCAATCAATTTTCCTATCACTTAGAATGCATCTAAAGCACAATGTAATGTTTAAAAAAGAAAATAGAATCTCATAAATTTTTGAATCAAGTGCATCTTACAAGAAATCAAGCAAATAATTATTTCCAATGAAATAATACATATCCTAGATAAAGTACTCATGTCCAAAAATCTGTTTACCATATTGAAATAGGGGATTTTGCACATCCACAGAATGCGTACACTACATGTTCTTTTTTCTTTTTATAAATATAATTTTACATATATCATTCTTTTGTTCAAATTCTACATATATCCGTCTATTTCTGTTCTCAATCTATTTCAATTCTATATATCCGCAGCGCATGCTCGACCCATAAGGAAAGTTGAAACAATTTCCAGTGGTGGAGCTGGAAAGATGTTCGATATGGGGATCCAAATAATGGTGGTCAAGTTGAGCACGTTCGAAAATGAGACTTTCCAAGATGTGAATATTCCGATTTACCTGACACTTGTTTCATAACTTTTATTGGGTTGCAAAATTGATGGCCAAAGTGTCAAACCATGTAAGTCATTCCAACCTGCATTAGATGTGAATGCGGTACACTTAAATTTGTGATCCCCCTTCTGCAATTCTTTCTAAGAAAGGCATAAAAATAGTTTATAACTAGCTTCTTCATAAACCATGACTCTTTCCTTGCCCTTATATCTCCATGACCAAGAAGATAAACCAGTCCAGATTCTTTAGCTGTGCGTATAAAAGATAACTCTCTTTCTAAAACCTGCTCTGCATCGAGCGCAGGGGGTTTGGGCGACGAAGGATGTGCATCCTTTGACGTGCTAGGTTCAAAACTAGGCATAAAGGTTTCATTAAAATCAGCTAGAAGAGGAACACCAAGTGAGTAAACACTCCCATTCGGATGTATGAGAACTCTAGAACAAGAGTATTCATCTTCTAAATCAGTATCCTCATCCCCCTCACTTTCAAGTGATCTCTCCTGTGCCTCACGGCGTATAAACTTCTCTAAACTCTCCATTAAAAGTTGTTCAAAAGCTTGGTGATTTTCTTTGCGAACATCTTTGTAACCATACCTGTCGGTATTATAAATGTTCAGATCAGACATATAAGATAACAAAATATTTTAATGACAAGGAAAGTACTGAGAAAATTACTAAACATGATAGTCTCATAAAAAATACTGTATTTTCATGAACTAACAGACTACCCAAAAGGGTGGCTAATATATCTGTAAATTTTCCCAATATTACATCACTAACCTATTCCTTTGAGATATTTATTTGAAGCTATAGCATTTTTAGCATGTTTTTAAGAAGTATTATGGACTTGTAGCACTTGTTACCTGGCAATACAACGAAATAAATGATAGCTTCTCTGGCAGACTCGTCGAAATAGAAACCTTTCATTTTGAGGCACCATAGCAACTGGAACAAACTTGATACTCACAAATATAACCATGGAGTGTATTGCTGGAAGTGTAGTTAGAAAATGCCCAAAAATTCCTGGAATTCCTTTGACCAACTCATTATAAAGTAGACCAATTCCAGGAGCTCGTATTGTCCCAAGATTGCAGCCCAACTCTCGCATTAAATCCGTCGATAGCTTTTGCTTGACTTCAGTTTCATACTTGAGCTTGCTTCCATAGTTCCAGACGAACATTATAAAAAACATTATTGCAGCAAAGACCAATATAATCCAACTTCCATCTGTTATGCCCCACAAAACGGATGAAAAGAAAACCAACTCCAAACCTAAGAATACTACCAGGAAACTCAGCACTACGATGATGTGCATCTGCCATATAAGAAGCATAACGAGAGTGACTAAAATGGTGGTCATCATCATTACCCCCAGTTCAGCAATGCCTGAAAGATGACAAAGGAACAGGCTGAAAACAAATACTCTTTTATGTTATGTTAATAATATATATGATATATTACAACAATATTGAAGGTAGAACCAAAGAATTGGGTCCTCTTAAACAAGGCTCTGCCTTGCCTCCATTATTACTATTCTTCCACTATAGTCAACGGCATCCAAAAAGAAATATTGAGAGAGAATTTCAGTGTTTTCCAATTAATAGCAGCACCATAGGTTTCACAATAACCTATTCTACATAGTCAATCCCACTAAACTTATGGCATCACTTACATTTTGACAAGTATTTTATGCGTGTGTATGTGGCTGATAAATTTGAAAAATCCATGGAGATAAAATAAAGATTTTGAAATAAAATAATTACCATATGCATTTCCAATCTCATCAATGCTGGATATAGAGCAGACAAACACCACAGAAACAGCCAACAGGAACCAGTTTATAACAGGAATGTAGATTTGACCCATAAACTTCCGAGATGTGTGAATTATTTTAAGACGCGGGAAACAACCAAGAGCAGTTGACTGTTTTATGCAAGAAAATGTAGCTGTTGTCATAGTCCTACTTGCAATAAGTGCAGCAATATTAGCAATGAGAAAAGTTGGCCAGAATACACCACCTATAGACAAAGAACAGTATTACACCGAAGCTTATGTGAAGTGTAGAGACATTGTAAGGAATGCAAAACACAAATATATACATACACACAGACACACACTGACACCTACTTGGAATAGAAGAAAAAAAGGCCTCGCCAGCATCAGCATGGTGTTCCATGAGGTATGCAGCTTGACCCAAATAACCCAATAGTAGGCACGGCAAAACAAGGAACACAAATGTGAGCTGCAAACAAACCAGCATCAGTTTCATCAATGTATAATTTGATATGACCAAAGAAATAAATGAAGTCTAACCAGAAGCCATGATACATGATTCATTACCTGAACTGCTCCAACAGAAAAGTAGCAAAGATCTGCAAACATGGCTTCAGAGCCTGTAACATTATCCAATAACAACGTTAATTGATAGTGGAAAGATTTGTGCGTGTCAGAAATAGTTAAATGTAAAATGCATATTTACCACATCACAATATTAAGATATTGGTGTACAAAAATTAGTCTATGTTTAATTATGTATTTAGTGGTGGGGTAGAACGGGATGGATTAGATGGAGCGAAATGAAATAAATCTCCATTCAGTTGTCCGGATATTTTTGTATGATAATTTCATTCTATTGTTAAAAAGTGGACCAGTTGACAACAAGACTAATAAATAGCATACCCCAAGAAAAGCAGAGAAAGATAGAGATGGTGGACGAAATAGTATGCAATGTGTTCCATAAGATTTCATTATATTTCATCCTATTTCAAACAATCCAAAACACATCCTCAGGGGGAGTTTGTCTGGCTACAAGGTCTGCATGCCATAAGCCTCATCAAAAGTTTACAATGGTACTTACATATGACCTCCCAACAAAAGACCCCTGACTAGAATCAAAACTACAACTTTATCAACATTATCTAATCCTACTAATACAGCCAACTCATGGGAATAATACATGCTTCTCAAATAATAGTAAAATTTGCCCATGAATTTTACAAAATCATACTCCATTTGCAATCAAGGAAAAATCTAACAAACCCACAAACTAATACTCCTACTTTTGTATATATATGCATGTAACCACTATTCATTGAACACAGGGCATTTTATTCAGAATCATGAATCATATATAGCCCACAATAGTAATACTATAGCGGCTACGCATTGCATCACTAGGGTGCTTAGTAGCATCACATTTTCGGGTAGCCGCAAACATTTGCATCCCATACTCATGATTGCTACAGCAGAAAAACACAGCCCCTGTATAGTAAACCAGCTCCTACTCCTACCCACCCCAATGAATCTTGAAGTCATGACAGATGCCAGTAGGCATTTGATTAAACCTCCGATAGTAATTAGAGAAAATCAATATTAGTCATTGTAATTACTACCAGGGCATTGATTTAAAAATAGAGAACAACATAAATAAAATAAAATATACACGACAAGAGAGAATATATATTATCACATCTACAATATCAATGGTCCTGCATGTGTTTACCAGTTGCACATAGAAGACAGCCCCCGAGAGAATACCATGCTTTAGTTGAATTCCTTGCGAAGAAATAATAGATGTGAATGGGATTAAAAGCCCTTAAGACGCTGCTGTCATATTTGACAAGATTGTATATACCAATGCCCGCAAGAGAACAAAACCATAAAAATAATGCAGGTCCTACAGCAAGCCCAGCTTTACTTGTTCCATACTTCTGTACACTAAACAAAACGACAAGGCAAGCAACAGAAATCATCACCACTTGATCTGCATAATCACGGAAGTAGAACAAATTAATATAACTTCGTTAGTGATTCTAAAATTGAAATATTTAGCCAATTTTTCCCAGTTTCCACCAGAGTAGCCCAAACTATAGAAACGACATTCCGCACACACTTAGACTGTATTATAATACCTTGAAAACTATAACTATTAATGGGGAAGCAACAATTATTTATTTCAAAGGAGAAAGAAAGATAAAAGCTATGTTCTCAGGATGTGTCTACGGGTAATATCAAATGCAGGTATTAATAAGTATTACAGACAAGAGTTTGTTAATAGGTTAACACAGTACCTTGCTTAATGGCATCTACCCCAATTTTCAAGCCATTAACAGATGATAGTACTGCAAGAAGAAAATTTTATAAAGTAAGAACTAAGTATGAAGTAATCAAGAGGTTATTGAAAACAACAGCTGGCCATGAACACAAGCAACGAGATTACAGCATAATATTAGTATCAATCCAAACTCCAAACTCCAAACACACTGTGACAAAAGCATTTCTATAAAAGCTACAAAATACATAATACTAGAGCAGTAAGTAACCTGACATTGCTGGTGTAACAACCCCATTAGCTATGAC